AAATTGATGTGAGGAATGACAATGATCGTGAAAGACTCCCAACAGATGGCGGTAGTGTACGTGTGAGAATAAGTGTTATTGTTGTTATTTCACATTATGAATGAAAGTTGCCAGAATCCTTGACCTCCTCCCCATTCTTGTCACATATTACCTGTCTGATATGAGTATTGTTGTTGTTAATGTGTCAGGTGGGAGATGCCTCGGTAGTTAACGTTTTTTAGTTCGTTGGCGCAGAGTCCCAAGAGAACCGTGGGAATTATTTTTTGTGAGTAGTAGTAGTAGTAGTAGTAGTAAACTGTAGCGGACACAATGTTGTACGGTACGTGTTAGGTCTTTATTGTTTATGTTTTGACTCATCAGCTGACACGACGCTCCACGTGGATAGTTAATAGGTAAGACTATGGTATAATATAAATAATAGTCTCAAATACACTTATAATACAGGATAGTAGACTAATATAAGTGATGCTCTAAGTCATTATATCTAAAGGTAATGATATAATTTTATTTGATATTATAAACAGTAATTTATTATACAGGATGTCAGTATAATAGTGTTAATGGTAATGTTTTTTTTTGGGGGGGGGGGCACCTGTTGTTTAGGTATCCCAGTCATGGTAATGGTGGCGGCAGCTGGAGCACTAGTCATGTAAACTCAAGCTAATGGTTGGCAGACGTCAAGCTGATTATGTGAAAGGAAATAGTTGGGTTGGGAATGGTAATTTACTTGTTAAATGATCGTTAGGGGAAGAAGATTGAATGGAGTCAGGTTGCTCTCTCTCTCTCTCTCTCTCTCTCTCTCTCTCTCAACTTATACCCCATGAGAGTGAAAATGGCAAGAGCTGGTGTGTGTGTGTGTGTGAGAGAGAGGTATATGAGTGAGTGAAAGTGAGAGTAATACACCAGTGAAAACGCGCGCGTGTGTGTGTGTGTGTGTGTGTGTGTGTGTGTGTGTGTGTGTGTGTGTGTGTGTGTGTGAGATAGGTAAATCGAGGGCAGTGTCAGGTATATAATCTTAACGTTGGCACAGAGAGGAGGATGAGAGCAGTGGATAGTAGGGATAGGAGTAGGAGAGGTGAGGTTAGTGTTGATAGTAGTATTAAGGATAGTATTACTAAACATATCAAAGAACTGAAAGAATATTTTTGTTTTTATCCGGTTTATGTTCAAGACAATACTGTACCAAAGAGGAGGGAATGTAAACGAAGGCACGTGGGAAGTTTTATCATCATCACATTGTTAAATAATTCGTTCCTTGTGATGTAACTCATAAGGGGTCTTTTGGGCGTCGACGAGAACGAGTTTAAAAGGCTGCACCGTTCCTTTAGAGAGAGAGAGAGAGAGACAGACAGAGAGAGAGAGAGAGAGAGAGAGAGAGAGAGTCGAGTCAATATTTGAGGTACAGTTGACACACTTGACAACAATGTGTTCTGTGGTTGACTGGATTCGGGAGTTGTCTGAATCGTGGAGAATGAAATCAATATTGAAGGATAAACAGTGACGTGTGAGAGGAGCTTTGTGGAGGTGTGGCACTTTGTCTTTGTGGTGTGGCACGTGACGAGTCTGTCTGTGTGTGTTGGTGACAGTGGGGTGTGGTGGGGTGACAATGAGGAGGTCAAGTCAAGCTGGCTCCCTGACAGGTACCAACAGTGTTCCAGGATCGGGTTGTTGTTGTTTTTTCCGCACCCTGTCACCTCCTCCCGCCCATCCCTGTAACCTATTCACCACAGACCACCACCACACTCTTTCCGTCCCCACTACTACCACTCCTATCCCTCGCTACCACTCCCATCCCTTCCCACCACTATCACTCCTATCCCCACCACTACTCCCACTCCCTACCACTACCACACCTCCCACCCACCTCCCTCCCCACCACCACCCTCCACCACACCCTCCTATCCCTCCCCACCACTACCACTCCCATCCCTCCCCACCACTACCACTCCCATCCCTCCCTATCACTACCACTCCCATCCCTCCCTATCACTACCACTCCCATCCCTTCCCACCACTATCACTCCTATCCCTCCCCACCACTAACACGTGACTGTTTCCTCATAAGCTTTAAGGTACTTGTGAACGTACAATGTAAAGTTCAGTGAATAGAAGTAACCTTTAACGTGACAATATTGCTGTAGCTATTAACAACCACACACCCAGGTACAGTAGGTCAGTCAACCACACACCCAGGTACAGTAGGTCAGTCAACCACACACCCAGGTACAGTAGGTCAGTCAACCACACACCCAGGTACAGTAGGTCAGTCAACCACACACCCAGGTACAGTAGGTCAGTCAACCACACACCCAGGTACAGTAGGTCAGTCAACCACACACCCAGGTACAGTACATAAGTCAGTCCGTGTTATATTAGTTAACACTCACTGGGGCACACCTCTCAATGTACTGGATTACGTCACGTTTTACTCTTTTGGTAGATTAGGTTAAGTTAGAATGTATTTAAACTCAATCAGGTTAAGTTAATCTGGGATGTATTGTCGGGTAAACGCACCAGTAAGCGGCATCGTATAATCAACTGCATTCATATGAGGGGGTTGGGGCTGGTGGTGAGTAAACATTACCTCACTAGGCCAGGCCGAGGTGTTGAAGCGAGTCAGTGTTTACCTCACATAACCTGGTTTGTGTGGCCGTGTTGACAGTCATTTGCAATGTTTATTTTTTTACGGTGATTTTTATGCTGCTTAGACGCACGAAAGAAGTATTATATCTAAAGATGATGATGATAATAATGGTGATATTAATGATAATAAGAGTAATGATAATAAAATAAATATGTAAAGGAATTTATATAATACTTGTTGCCCACTACGTCAGCGTGACTCACCAACAATATAAACAAGTGCCAAGGCGTTTGTTTACATGACGTACGAGTTGTTTGCATTAATATTTACTTAAGCTTTTTGCATTGATATTTGCTTCAGCTGTTTTCATTAATATTTACTTCAGCTGTTTGCATAATTGATTTAGTATACATTGTTTACAACACTTGGTGACGTCATTTATCTTCACCTGATTAACACAATTTGTCAACACCAATTATTAAGACCTTGTTCACACCTATTGTTTATGCCTTTCTCTTAGGCCTTAACCGTAACATATATCGAGAAAAAAAAGAGTTGTAACAGTTATATATTTTGCTTCACACACACACACACACACACACACACACACACATACATTCAGAGAGAAAAAGAGCGAGAGATCAAATTGGTCAACTTTTATCAACATAACGTTACCCTAATTGTACTTAACCTAACCTAACCATACCTACACATTCACATGATATATACAGGTATTTGCTTACATTGGTTGGAACGATGTGTGTTTAAAATGGTTCAATCAGTATGTCTGTTTACAGTGGTCAGGTCAGTATATGTTTACAGTGGTCAGGTCAGCATATGTTTACAGTGGTCAGGTCAGTATATGTTTACAGTGGTCAGGTCAGCATATGTTTACAGTGGTCAGGTCAGTATATGTTTACAGTGGTCAGGTCAGTATATGTTTACAGTGGTCTGGTCAGTATATGTTTACAGTGGTCAGGTCAGTATATGTTTACAGTGGTCAGGTCAGTATATGTTTACAGTGGTCAGGTCAGTATATGTTTACAGTGGTCAGGTCAGTATATGTTTACAGTGGTCAGGTCAATATATGTTTACAGTGGTCAGGTCAGTATATGTTTACAGTGGTCAGGTCAGCATATGTTTACAGTGGTCAGGTCAGTATATGTTTACAGTGGTCTGGTCAGTATATGTTAACAGTGGTCAGGTCAGTATATGTTTACAGTGGTCAGGTCAGTATATGTTTACAGTGGTCAGGTCAGCATATGTTTACAGTGGTCAGGTCAGTATATGTTTACAGTGGTCAGGTCAGTATATGTTTACAGTGGTCAGGTCAGCATATGTTTACAGTGGTCAGGTCAGTATATGTAACGATTGGATTACTCTAATTAGGCTTAAGGACTGGATGACACTTCAGGAGTCTCACAGTTGAATGGAAGATGTTGAGACTTTTACTATATTATTGTAAGTTAGGCACATCAACGTTTTGGTAGACATTCTCACACTTTTTCCAAGGCAAGCCCATGAACGTTTTAGAAGGCAAGCCCATGGACGTTTTGGAAGGCAAGCCCATGAACGTTTTGGAAGGCAAGCCCATGGATGTTTTGGAAGGCAAGCCCATGGACGTTTTGGAAGGCAAGCCCATGAACGTTTTGGAAGGCAAGCCCATGAACGTTTTGGAAGGCAAGCCCATGGACGTTTTGGAAGGCAAGCCCATGGTCGTTTTGGAAGGCAAGCCCATGAACGTTTTGGAAGGCAAGCCCATGAACGTTTCGGAAGGCAAGCCCAAAAACGTTTTGGAAGACATGTTCATAAACGTTTTGAAAGACCTGTTGATAAACGTTTTGGAAGGCAAGTCATGAATTTTAGGAAGATGTATCCAGAAACGTTTTTGAGGATAATCTTATAAAGTTTTAAGACGCTCTCACAAACGTTTTCAGGCATACTCCTAACGTTTTACTAGACACTCCCACCTCATCACTCTTGTGGATCAGTACTTAAGGCAGCGTTGATATCCATCCTTAGGGAGACTTTCTCGTGCTCTTGAGGGTAAACAAACAGTATGGAGGGGTTAGACTGTTTTGCCTGGGGCCTTGTTCATGTTGCCTCATCTCTGGGTCTGTGTGTGTGGTGGGTAGGTGGAAGGTATGAATGCAGTGTGTGTGTGGTGGGTAGGTGGAAAGTGTGTGTGTGTAGTGGGTAGGCGGAAAGTGTGTGTAGTGGGTAGGCGGAAAATGTGTGTGTGTGTGGAATGGGTAGATGGAAAGTGTGTGTAGTGGGTAGGCGGAAAATGTGTGTGTGTGTGTGTGTGTGGTGGGTAGGTGGAAAGTGTGTGTGAGTGTAGTGGGTAGGAGGAAAGTATGAATGCAGTTTGTGTGTGAAGAGTGAGTCAACACCTTGCACCCAGTGTGCCACTTACCTGGTGGTGGTGGTGGCAGGTTCCTGGGTAGACAGCACCACGAGTGTCTTTCTCCCGCGAGCGCTCACAGAGGGGGTGGGAGGGGGGGATAAAGCACTCGCCTCCACCACGCTAGATATATACTGTATATATAAATATCTATTTCTCCTTTTTACTCTTCCCTTAGGATACAGTGTTTATATCCATCAGTGTAGTATGATCAGTATGGATTACTTGGATTTTTTTTCTTTATGCGTTATCGTCAACTAGGTTTTAGAAATTTGGTGGCGGGTTGAGGTAAGGAGATGTCAGACGCGTGCACAGTGATGAAAGCCAGAGCGACGCACCAGCGATGTTCTCCCGTTAAAGGTTCTCGGGCAACTGACTACCTGGCGCCGCCCACCACTTGGACGAGGCACCACCGCAGTCACTATCTTCCGCGCACGTACACTGAGGCACTGCCGTACACTGAGGCACCTCCATCCACGGAGGCACCGCCGTACACAGGCACTGCCGTACACTGAGGCACCGCCGTACATTCAGGTACCGCCATACACTCAGGCACTGCTGTACACTCATGCACTGCCGTACACTGAGGCACTGCCGTACATGGAGGCACCGCCATACACGGAGGCACCGCCGTACACAGGCACTGCCGTACACGGAGCACCGCACCTCGCACTGCTGTACACTCATGCACTGCCGTACACTGACTACCGGGCACCTGCACTCATCATGGCACCGCCATACGGAGGCACCGCCGTACACAGGCACTGCCGTACACGGAGGCACCGCCGTACATCACTGGTACCGCCATACACTCAGGCACTGCTGTACACTCATGCACTGCCGTACACTGCCACAGGAGGCACCGCCATACATGGAGGCACCGCCACAGGCACCGCCGTACACAGGCACTGCCGTACACGGAGCACCACCGCCGTACACAGACTGCACTACCGTACACGGAGGCACCGCGCGGAAACTCATTGCTGCGTACCGCCTGCACACGGAGCACTACCGCACATCAGGCACTGCCCACTCAGAGCACTGCCACACGGCACATAAGGCACCGCCATACTCATCAGGCACTGCCGTACTGGCACTGCCGTACACGGAGCACCGCCATACACGGAGGCACCGCCATACACACACCGCCGCCACAGGCACTGCCGTACACCCCATACACACCGCCATACACGGAGCACCGCACACAGGCACTGACACATTACACCGCCATACACACCGCCATACACTCCAGTACCGTACCACTGCCGATTGCCGTACACTACATGAGCCATTTGCCTGGAGGCACCGCCGTACACATGCCATGCACTTTACACTCCAGTACACGGCACACACCAGGCACCGCCATACGGCACCGCCATACACTCAGGCACCATACACACAACACTGCTGTACACTCAGGCAACACAACATTTCCTGTTTATTTTGTTTATCATAAGGAAATGAGCACACACATACACGTGACGGAAAATAATGCGTGCATCAAATAAAGTGATTCTGATTACTACTTGATCACAGTTGATATCTCTCTCTCTCTCTCTCTCTCTCTCTCTCTCTCTCTCTCTCTCTCTTATAGATTTTATTAACATTCAGTAAACACAGCCCACACTCCATCTTCACTCAGCGTAAGGCCACGTTATCTGAGTGGCATACAGAGACAGGGTGAAGCGAGTGGACCGTGGCGGCGTCTGATTGCTTGCCGCCGTCATGACCAAAGCTGAATTTAAACCAAACTTGTGGTGGTCCTTAACACTTGAGGGTCACCAGTCACACACACACACACACACATTTTTTTCAGTTATGAGTACTTAAAATTGTCACTCATGAAGCAGATGAACTTGACCTCAAAGGGGTAAATGAACTATAATAAGTAATTGTACGAGAGTTGTTAAGGTAGATGACATCCTCCTATTACCTGTTGATCGGAAACAAAATATATCCTTCAGGTTTAGGTTTCCAAGATCTTCGTCGGTGCTCGAGGTTTGATTGACGTCTTTTGATATCTTTGGTTCCTCTGTGTGTGTGTGTGTGTGTGTGTGTGTGTGTGTGTGTGATTACCTTAATACTTTGGGGTTTTTCGCATGAAAGATTACCGTTTGCTCTCTCTCTCTCTCTCTCTCTCTCTCTCTCTCTCTCTCTCTCTCTCGTTCAGTACGTCATGCCGTGGATTCGTCTGTGGTTCTCAAGGCCGAGTGTGTTGGGGCGTGGAGGTGTGTTGCGTGGAGTGTGTTGCGTGTTGGGGCGTGGGTGTGTTGTGTGTTGTGTGTTGGGTGGAGTGTGTGTTGCTGTGTTGGGACGTGGAGAGTGTGTTGTTGTGTTGGGGGGGCGTGGAGAGTGTGTTGCTGTGGTGGGACGTGGAGAGTGTGTTGCGTGTGTTGCTGTTTGGGACGTGGAGAGTGTGTTACTGTGTTGGGACGTGGAGAGTGTGTTGCTGTGTTGGGGCGTAGAGTGTGTTGCTGTGTTGGGACGTGGTGAGTGTTGCTGTGTTGGGACGTGGAGAGAGTGTTGCTGTGGTGGGCGTGGAGTGTGTTGTGGAGAGTGTGTTAGCGTGTGTGTTGCTGTGACGTGGAGAGTGTGTTGCTGTGTTGGGACGTGGAGTGTGTTGCTGTGTTGGGGCGTGTGTGGCTGTGGTGGGACGTGGAGAGTGTGTTGGGGCGTGGAGAGTGTGTTGCTGTGTTGGGACGTGGAGAGTGTGTTACTGTGTTGGGTTGGTGTGTGTTGGCGTGGTGTTTCTGTGTTGGGTTGTGGAGAGTTGGGACGTGGGTAGTGGCTGTGTTGGGACGTGGGAGTGTGTTGCTGTGTTGGGTCGTGAGTGTGTTGCTGTGTTGGGGCGTGGGTGTGTTGCTGTTTGGGACGTGTGTGTTGCTGTGTTGGGGCGTGGTAGTGTGTTGCTGTGTTGCTGTGTTGGTGGGTGTAGTGTTGCTGTGTTGGGACGTGGGGAGTGTGTTGCTGTGTTTGGGACGTGGAGTGTGTTGCTGTGTTGGGACTGTGGGACGTAGTGTGTTGCTGTGGGCGTGTGTGTTGCTGTGTTGGGACGTGGGGTTGTGTGTTGGGGCGTGGAGTGTGTTTCTGTTGGGACGTGGGGAGTGTGTTGCTGTGTTGAGTCGTGGAGTGTGTTGCTGTGTTGGGGGTGGAGTGTGTTGCTGTGTTGGGACGTGGGGTGTGTTGCTGTGTTGGGGCGTGGAGTGTTTGTGGACGTGTGTGTTGCTGTGACGTAGAGGTGTTGCTGTGTTGGAGGGTGTTGCTGTGTTGGGCGTGGAGTGTGTTGCTGTTTTGGGACGTGGGGTGTGTTGCTGTGTTGGGGCGTGGAGTGTGTTGCTGTTTTGGGACGTGGAGTGTTGCTGTGTTAGTGGAGTGTGTTGCTGTGTTGGGACGTGGGGAATGTTGCTGTGTTGGGACGTGTAGTGTGTTGCTGTGTTGGGACGTGGGGAATGTGTTGTGGGAGGTGTGTTGGTGTTGGTGGTGTTGCTGTGTTGGGACGTGGAGGTGTGTTGTGTTGGGACGTGGTGGTTGCTGTGTTGGGACGGTGTGTTGCTGTGTTGAGTCGTGGAGTGTGCTGTGTTGGGGCGTGGAGTGTGTTGTGTTTTGGGACGTGGAGTGTGTTGCTGTGTTGGGGGTTGTGGATGCTGTGTTGGGTGTTGGGACGTGTGTGTTGCTGTGTTGGGGCGTGGAGTGTGTTGCTGTTTTGGGACGTGTGGTTGGGTGTGTTGGGGACGTGGGAGTGTGTTGCTGTGTTGGGGCGTGAGTGTGTTGCTGTGTTGGGGCGTGGAGTGTGTTGCTGTTTTGGGACGTGGGTGTGTTGCTGTGTTAGGGCGTGGAGTGTGTTGCTGTGTTGGGACGTGGGGAGTGTGTTGCTGTGTTGAGTCGTGGGTGTGTTGCTGTGTTGGGGCGTGGGTGTTGCTGTGTTGGGACGTGGGTGTTTTGCTGTTTGGGACGTGGAGTGTGTTTGGTGTTGGGTGTGGCTGTGTTAGGGGCGTGTGTTGCTGTGTTGGGACGTGGGGAATGTGTTGCTGTGTTGAGTCGGAGGTAAGCTGCTGTGTTGGGGCGTGGAGTGTGGTTAAGCTGTGTTGGGACGTGGAGCGTTGCTGTGTTGAGGCTGTGGAGCGTTGCTGTGTTGGGGCGTGGAGTGTGTTGCTGTTTGGGACGTGGAGTGTGTTGCTGTTTTGGGACGTGGAGTGTGTTGCTGTGTTGTATCTATGTTGCTGTGTTGGGACGTGAGGTAAAAGGCTGTGTTGGGACGCAGAGTGTGTTGTGTTGGGACGTGGTGAGTGTTGCTGTGTTGAGGCGTGGAGTGTGTTGCTGTGTTGGGACGTGGGGAATGTGTTGCTGTGTTGGGACGTGGGAAGTAAGGCGTTAAGGTCGGAGCAGGTTGGCTGTGTTGGGTCGTGGAGTGTGTTGCTGTGTTGGGACGTGGAGTGTGTTGTTGTTTTGGGACGGAGTGTGTTGCTGTGTTGAGACGTGGAGGTGTTGCTGTGTTGGGGCGCAAGTGCTGAGACGTGGGAGGTTGCTGTGTTGAGAGTGCTAGGGCCGTAGAGTGTGTTGCTGTGTTGGGACGTGGAGTGTGTTGCTGTGTGGGGACGTGGAGTGTGTTACTGTGTTGGGGCGTGGAGTGTGTTGTTGTTTTGGGACGTAGAGTGTGTTGTTGTTTTGGGACGTAGAGTGTGTTGCTGTGTTGGGACGTGGAGTGTGTTGCTGTGTGGGGACGTGGAGTGTGTTACTGTGTTGGGGCGTGGAGTGTGTTGTTGTTTTGGGACGTAGAGTGTGTTGTTGTTTTGGGACGTAGAGTGTGTTACTGTGTTGGGGCGTGAAGTGTGTTGCTGTGTTGGAGAGTGTGTTGAGACGTAGAGTGTGTTGCTGTGTTGGGTCGTGGAGTGTGTTGCTGCGTTGTGGCGTGGAGTGTGTTGCTGCGTTGTGGCGTGGAGAGAGTGTGTTGCTGTGGCCAATAGGTGAACAAGGAGTTGAAACACACACACAGACACACACACACACACACGACACATTATGTATACATATTTACATCAAGTACACATAACGCGGTGATTTTACGCCAAGGACACACACGACTGACTATTGTACGTGATAGAGAGGAAATGGTTTGAGGATCACTATTTCCTTAGTTAAAATCTCCGCCATAGTATTTATAGTTGAGGACCGTGTATGTGTGTATGTGTGTGTGTGTGTGTGTGTGTGGGTGTGTCTGTGTGTACGTACAGACCACCCACATCGTCACGCCTCACCACCTCACCATCGGCGGTAGACGATGATTGTTGAATCTGTCGTCATAATATGAATCCGGCCTAACTGGTATCATCGCCAGGTTGAACTCGAATGTACCGCAATGTAGCAATAATACCACTACTGTACCACCAACACCACTGCTGTACCACCAACACCACTACTGTACCACCAACACCACTACTGTACCACCAACACCACTACTGTACCACCAACACCACTAATACCACCGACAAACACAGCAACACGAGCTATGGTGGGTGTACACAATGTTGGGAGAGTTCCACAGTGTTTACAAAGTCACATAATGTTTGAATGTTTACACAATTCACTGTAATGTCTAAAGTTAAAGAAGAAATTACTAGAATGTGGATCATGGAGGAACATTTTTAACAACTGTTGGAAGAGGAAGGAAGTCACGTTAAACTGACCGGCTCAAGTGCAGGAAACTGTAAAATAACGTTAATGCTTTGAATGTTTCACTTCCTCAAGGAACTCTCTTTAAACACAGGCACGCAACAAGGGACTCGTGTGTTTGTGTGTTTGAACTGTTGTGGAGGCTGAAAGCAAGTGGAGCAAGGACGATGGTGGTGGTAGTAGTGGTGATGGTGGTGTGGTGGTGATGTTGGTAGTAGTCGTAGAAATGGTGGTAATAGTAGTGGTGTAGGGCAGCTGCTGGTGATGTCGACCATCTTGTTTCCAGCGTTCTCTCAATACCTGCACCGAGTGGGGGCGTGTTTCTCCCAAATTGAGATTTGTGGGGTGTGTGTTTCCTTCCCAAATTGAGATGTGTGGGGTGTAAGCCTGTTTCCTTCCTAAATTGAGATGGGGTGT